TGAAGATAAATGCAAGAAAAAATATGTTATGTAAACTTTGTTTGCCATAGTCTGAATACAAGGTTAAAATTGAAATGGCTTATCATGTAAGTTTCCATTTTCGTGCCGTAGAAAGCCACAGCCTGTATGTTGTGCTATTATTTCTGACTCATATTTATGACAGTACAGGATCCTATCTTGCATTTATCTTCACAATCAGGATTTGGAGAATGTCAGATTTGTTTCAGAATGGACTCTAAAAGAGGCTCAGGAGAAAAAGATATTCCACTAAACTCATTTGTCAGTTAGCAAAAGGGATTGCACTGTTTTTCCTTTTCCAACTATTTGTTTTCCTTTTTAGCTTTTAAAACATTCATCTCACTTAAATGAGAATCATTTTCTCTCTTATTTATCTACCCACAATAACTGGTTTCCCTATATTAATTTTTTCCATTTATGTCTAGGAAACTGGTAAAATACAAAAAACAATGGATACTTGGAGACAATTATAATATGGATTATGAGTTATGAATCTATTTTGAATCCATAGATTCATAATATGAAATATGGGCAAATTTTCACATTAGTCACTTTGACAAAATATTTCCAGGGCTTTGAGAACATTTTATTCCAGATGTGTATCTAGAAATGAAGCACCTGAGATTTGTGGATAACCCTGGTGGGTCCATCCTGTTAAATAAAGATTGGTAGATAAAAAAATGGGCTTTTATGAATTACCTCACCCAATAGGCAATATTCATTTTTCTATGAAATTACAGACCTATCTTTTGCCCAATTTTATGCAGCATAATTAATCATGAGTAATAAATAACAGACATAAAAAGATTAGATGGCTAAATAGACTTATAGAAATTTATTAGCATTAAGCATTAAGGTAAAAATAAAAAAAATAGCAATATATGTTGACTAGAAGCTAGTCAACTAGCTTCTAGATTTTAGATTTCACATAATCCAGGATTAAAGTCAAAGAAGTTAAACCTTAAATTAGCATGCCCAGTTTTCTCTTACATTTTTAGGTCTTTATACAAGTTCCAGTAATCCGTATAATTTGCTTGTTAGACAAGACCAATTATAATTTTTAAAGAAAAGCAAAAACTTCAAATATCACCTTCTCTAGATTCTAGAGTTTTAATTTATTGAAATAACAGGATCCAAATTTAATTTAACCAGTTTTTGACCACACATTTCTTGGTAATAGTCTCCCTACATCAATATACATTTTAAATTAAGTCATTGAAATTCATAATTCCCTAATTGAATTCAGGTATGTCCAGCTAATGCTTGAATGCACTATAAACACTATATGCACTTCTCCAATTCTTTTCAGCTTAAAATATGAACCAAAATTCTACATATGCCTGGTTAGTTTTCATGCTCACTAGGCAAGTATGGTAGTTCTTTAAATATAACCTGCTCTTTCAGTGGAAATCTGAAGTTTGTTTTCTTCATTTGGTAAACAGCTTTTATCTTGCTGGATTCTCTGATTATTATTTTTTTTTTTTGCAGTTGTCTTACATCTAGTTAGAAGATATGATTTGTATTATATAGCCAAGGATACATTTTGAAGTAGAGCAGATGCTCTTTCAAAATGTCATAAATAAATGTGGAGGGTCATTGTAACCTTCGTGTAATTTACTCTTGTATACTCTCTGTCCTTCATCTCAGCCCCCGCACTTCAATCTGGTTTATACATACAAATCATATCTT